TTCAAAAAGTAACCAATAATCAATAATTTTAATTTGTATTATGCATTTAATAATGAATTGTAAAAATATATTATTTATTGAAATTTGAATGGCTCTCATTCAGTAAATTTTGGTTTTAGAGCGATGGTTAACTGGTCAAAATAAATTAAAAAACTTCAGTCTATCTGAATTTGGTATCAAAAATACCGGTTGCTATAAAAAAAAAATAAGTTTCATTGCGCATGCACGTRCCGAGAGGGTTAAAAATTTGAAATTTATCTGAAAATGTGTATTTATATACCAGTAGCTTGTAAAAAAAATTTGATTTATTCCAACATAATCCGGCTGAGAAATTCAGTGTTCCCTAAATTGGTGAACATACAGTATATAATATTATATGGTATACCTATAGGGTAAACCTACTATGTTTGTGACTTTTACTCGTCAAACAATCGGTTTTTTATTTTCACAATAATATTTCGAAACTATACACCTCTTGCGTTTAGTCAAAAATATTTTTAAATATACATATCCAGGTATGTTCCATAATAGTATACTAATGAAAAATTTACATTTCCGAAAGTATAATCTGTACGCGGCAGGAGACATCTCACGCGCGTGAGTTGAATTTCCAATTGTCATCGTCGTCATTGTCGTGTATATATATATATATATATATATATATATCAACTATGAAAACGGAAGAATACTATAAATAATAATATATAATGTAAATGTAATTTAACGTTTGAAAGTGATGGAAAACAGTATTTCAAAAACAACGAAGAAGATCAAATAAATCAAAATAAACGTATTTTTACGACAACGTCCAAATGCCGCTAATTGGCCACGTACTTGTTTGTATAACATATCATATTATTATGTATGCATAAATGCATCAAAGTGGAAAAAGTTTAGTTTAATTTTAGAAGACAAGACTTAAATATTTAAATAGAACTGCAATGTTATTCGCATATTCACGATCCTTTCTTTTGATGCTTTGAACTGTTGTACAAAATTAATATTCTTTCTGAATTCTACGCAAAATGGTAAACTGAATTGAACTCAAATACATTTGTTTATACGACCCTCACCTTAAGACATATTCGTTATCTCGACACTGTTTAATAAACCTCGATAAAAGACTAACTTGGCAAAGTCATATATAAATAAAAGATATTTAAAGTCCCCTCGGATCACTAAAAATACTACTCTCAAAAAATAAATTCATTACAAACAAAAGTACTAATAAATCAATCGCATCTTAAGCCTATAAGCCATAAGGACGTGTGGGACTCAACTTTGGGTATTGTTGAAAAAATCAAATTTATACAAAATACAAGCATTCAAAAGTACTTACTACACTTCATAATAAGGTTACAAATACTCCACACTTTTTTTCTAACCTGACTCTTCATAGAGACCTTAATATTACAACTATAGGGAAAGAAACTACAGTTGTCTATAAACGTTTCTAAACTATAGATTAAAATGCCACGTTTATCCATCGAAAAATGTACTCATACATGTCCCATATATGTCCCGTCACTTCTAGCAAATAATTCATCACAAACTCAAAAGRAAATTGTGTAGAAACCTAATGTAAACGCCAATATCTAAATGTCATTACCTAATGGGTGATCACGCAACCCCAATTATAATTCCATCCCCTACGGCCTACGTCAAGTATATTGTGTTTTATTGTAAAGCTTGTATATTTTCTATATTAGGTATATCAAAAAAATAAAAATAAGCATTGTATTAAACTCCCKCTTTGTAAAACAAAAACTATTGACTCCAAAAACAAACCAAGATAGAATCTATTTTCGTAGAAATTAATGAGTTCCGGTCGACATAATCGGCGTTATTATTATTTCTATTTTTTGTATGTACCTAACTATATTTACAACAACATTAATTTGACCTTCTTTTAAGATTTCGCATACGTCGAATGTTAACGTTCGAATTCGCCTTTTGCTCGTGTTTGTTTTTTTAAATTATTATTATTGTACAACTTTAAATGAGAATACTGTCCGATAGAATATTATATTGTTAAACAATGGCACGTGCCAATTCAATAATAATAATKACGTGAGTATTTTGATTTTTGTGTATGTGTGTCATAATTATTGGAATACGTTATCTGTTTACGCCTTTTGCGCCAGTTCTTAAACGTAACAGCTGTCGATAGTCAAAGCAGTGGAAAGCACACGATCCAAAGACGCACATCTCAAAGTGCAATCATTTATAGTTTATATAATAATAATAACACGGTGGAACAACGTCGGTTCRGTTGTACACACGCTCCCGCGCATACGACATTGATGTTAACAAACCGTAAGTCCTGTTACGGGTGTATAATATACATATAATATGATATGATGATGATAATAATATGACATATTCATGTATATGGTGTACCTACCTATATATACATATATTCAGTGATAGTAGTCCGGCCGGTGCGTGGGCTGCAGCAAGCCTAGGCGGTGCGTATAAATCAGTCGTTATAAAAAAAAAATGACGTAGGGCTGTGTAATAACGCGAGAGATAAAAAGCGAACTCGTTGCGTAATTTGGGAGTCCTTAAAAACCAGATATCACAATAACACACTCGGGTCCGAGTAATTGGATACGCCCGTGTGCTTCGTCGTCGTTCGAGCCAAATTTCGCGACGAAACCCGTCAGGAGAAAGAGAAAAAAAAACCCTAATAACACATTTTAATGACTCCTTCACCTGCCCCTTCTTCCCCTCTCCACCAGACCTTTCCGACAGTACGGTATTGTCGTTTTATACRTATGTGTGTATATGTATAAATGGACGGTAATCGATACGGCAACGGCTCTTTAAACGACCCGACGGTTTTTATAAATTATTATATTATTAAGTTATAATGTCGTACAAATTTAATATTATCGTGTCTGGTAAACTCGACCCTGATACAGTTCGACTAATTCGACTTGACTCTAACGATGCAGTCCAAAAAAAAAAAACACGCTTAATTATTTTTTATTAGTTTTTTGTTCGCATAATAATATCGTGTTGCATTGTAAGATAAACGCCTTTCGGCTCGAATATCTGCACGCAGACCATAATAACAAAATATWWAAAAAAAATATTAATAATAGGAATAGTATATTTATTTCATAATAATATCTATATTAATAAGGTAACGCACAAATAGTGTTCATAAGTGATGTGGACAATAAGTATACACTTTTATATTGATGTATATTACAATACACAAAATCGTAATAATGTTACAAAACAGTGTGTAACAGCCAGTAGAAAGGTAGTTTTTTTTATGCATTTGTAAAGATATTTGTAAGACGTGTCAGTARCACGAATATTAGTCTCGTCTACTTGACATACCTATAACTTTTACACTTCTCATATACTTTTCCATACTTTTATTTAATTTGTTGGTACAACCTGAACTCGAAATGTSTTGAACTTTCAAATCTGAAAATTCATYTTAGACGGTTCACTATTATAGGTACTGATCGAAAAATCGAAATGTCGCAATCTCGAGTAAACTTCTTGACAAAATCAAATGCATTTTTAAAAGCTTATTGGCTCATAAAGTCACACACATAGTACAAATTGGTTGGAAGTATGTACCTAAGTTTCCCCTCCTCTAAAAAAAACACTTTGTATAATATTCTGATCGAAGCTCCTTAAAGATGGCGGTAAAAAGATGATTATGCTTTTATTATCTGTCAGCAGCAGAATAACGTAGTCGTCGCCGCAAACATAATATTATTGTATACTTTATTATCATTGCGAAAATCCTATATTCACATTCATATTATTTTATACCTACGCGAATCGAAATTTATTACGTCGACTGTGTGCGCGCGCAGACAGCTTTTTATTTTTCTTTCTCCGATAACGTCCTTTGGCAATAAATCGTCGTCTGTACATATTATAATATAATATATACTATACGAATGTTGTAATTATATTTATATGAATCTACCGCGCGTTACAATTCCAGTCACGGACCTGCTTATATATTATATAGCCATATAGGTGGGTGACGGCGAGCTTTTGGAATGTTTTTTTTTTTAACAATCATTTTCGCGGCAGTCGAAACGGTTCACTTCACATTTCGTTTTTATGCTCACGATCTGCGACAGCTGTATAATAATAATAATAATATGGTCGACTTCGGCAGTACATGCACTGCAAACTGCAGACAGATAGGAACGCGTATTATCCGTCGAGCGAATGGTATATACGGACCAAACAACTAGCTCGTCAATAATCTTAATAATAATAATTGCAATACAACAATATCATAATACTATTATCATTATTATGTGTACCGCACGGAAACCAATAAATAACGTTTGGGTGGAAATAATTCGACGCGCGCGATGAATTCTGCCGATAATATTACTGTAACAATATAATAACGGTCTCGGTCCGGCAGAGAACAAGGACACGGCAATCATAATATATAACTAATAAGCGCAATGCTTCAGTATGGAAACGAAATCTGTATTTGGTATTGGTATTGGCGGGGGTGGGTGCGGAGGCGGGAGAGTGAGCTAAAATTATAAAACATCCGACGCTTCCCATACGGTATTCCAAAATTGCGGACTCTGACACTACACTTGGTGGCGATAATTTGAAACCCGCAAAATTATACTATTATGTAATGTGGTATGCATACATTCACCCCTAGACCCGTAACCGGATATGCTTGAGCAAGTACGTGCATAACATACGATAGTAAATTATGATATGGATGCCTAAGTGTCTAAGTTCCTGAATGTAACGTTCGATATAATATCACAACTGTTGTATACCGGTGTGTTTTTTTACATGAYGATATCAACCGCACAAGGTTTATTATTGATAAGGCCTAGACCGAGAACTCAGTTCGACAAAACCGTTTTTCGATTTACCCAAACCCCGTCACAACTACTTGTTTCTATATATATATTATATTTGTTTACATATATTACTGTTTTTCTCGATATACTCTAATCAATGGTTTCCGTTACTGTTCACAGACCTCGCTACATCATTTTGTCGTATATTGATGCCACACGCTTGTGACCGCGACGATACACAGAATGGAGGTTATTCCTCTGATACGGAGTTCAGCCACCGGTTCGGATGCGTCCAAAGGTGATAACGGCATCAAAAGACACGTCCAAGAATGGTCGAGACTCGACAGGTTGACCGGAATCTTGGAGCACGCCAGAGTCGAAGCGGACCAATGGACCAATCACACTGCCAACACTAAACACAAATATGGAAAGGTAATAAAAAATATATAACGGCCATAATATGATAAATTATGCACCCATTTGTATAATTTATATTTTGATCGATTAATATTAAAATATGAAATACCTAATATATAATAATATAATACAACATATTATCGTTTAATTTTTAAAGGTGTTTCAATTTTATTAACCGGTCGATTCCATAAAAGGAAATTCGTATAGTAACATATACATAATATTTTATCGTTAACATTTTTAATATATTACGTTTTCCAACGTTTTAACCTAACCAAATCAGAAGAAAGGAGTTTTTTCAACCAATTAATTATCAATCTCGTTTCATTTAAATAACTCATGATATAGTTATACTAATATGATGGATCATGGTCCCCGTATATTCTCTGTAATCGAAATAATGTGTTGTATACTTGAAAACGCGTACTGAACAAAACCTATATACTTAATATTATATGTACGCTATAATAGYACTGCAGCACTTCGATTCTATATTTCTTACATGTGTGATAGTAAAAGTAGCGTTTCGTTTTTCACAAACATAAAATACAATATTTTCCGGGAAATATACGTGGAGCAACAAACGCAGATATAGTATTATGCTGACCACATAACAACTGACCTGGATAAACTACATGCACTACACATATACCTGAACTCACGTATACGACTGCAGAAAATTATATTAAATGACATCAAACGATTTCAAATGGAATATATTACGTTTCGGCCAAACGCTACGGATGGTCCTTACCTACAACATAGATTTTGAGGTCAGAAATTCTCGTTAGCGGTAAATTTTGACTACGCTCCGGTTCATTAACCACAAAAACAGTCTTTATTTCCACACAAACATAATTACTCGCTCGGCCGTGATCCTCAAGTCAATCGTTCTTTAACGACGAATCTCACCTATATATTACATGAATGTGTATATWTATGAACCTATGCATATTTGCCGTATCAAAGAGATAACGAACTAATTGCAAATTAATTGTATACCTATAATATAATGGGCGTTTGTCATTTAAACCGAAAAAAACATAATTTTCAGGGACGGGAGATTTGCCAAAAATATATAGATTTACGAATAACTAGACAAATATAATATATATGTATATAATAATATGATAATGAGTATTAAAATGTATTTAAAAAAAAAAAAGTTTTTAACTCTAATAACCCGTTACGATGTATTATATACGTATCATAATATAAAATCAGCACATCATTTCTATTTATCATTTATATACAAAGTTTTCCTTTAAAATGTGGCTACACCTCTATATGTTGTCTCCGTCTTACATGYTAGCAAATACAAGTATACAAAATTGTACATTTTTGTTCACTAGTTTCAATAGTGTTCAGTTAG